AGTTATTCCCAATGTTTAGCTGGAGGAAGCTGAATAATCCAGCCCAGCCCTGCCTATTCTGATAGGCAGCAGCTCTCCAGGATCTTGGCCCCCAAGTCTTGCCAGCCACCCAAGATTTTATTGTTTCATTTCGTTTTGTTTTTCATTTGGAGAGGGCACAGACTGAACTTGCTGTTTTCTGGCATGCAAAACATGTGCTCTGCTGCTGAGCTACATTCTGTCCAGTGTCAGAATGTGCAGGGGTGGATGGACTGATAGTTTGATTCAAAACAACTCATTTCTTATCTCTCTGGTGGTCAGCCTTCTGGTCTGCCTGACTGCTGGAGACAAGTTGGTCTTTGGCCTCATGTGCCCTGAACAGAGGACAGCTTATAGTTCTGTACAAAATGAGCAGCTTTCAGACATGGGTTTGAGTCGGCTTCCGGGAACAAGTAGCAGAGATGTAGCAAGGCATTCAGATGGGAAATCCAGATCTGCGGGGGAACTTTTTCCAAAGCTGAAAAGAGTAGCTCCACCCATCCCTGTATTCAATATAACATATAGGTTAATATCAAACAACAGGCTCGCACACTCTGCACTTAAAAAACAACAACAAAGCAAAGCAAAGCAAAACAAAACATGGAAGACGTTATTGTTCTGAGAAATTTTTCCAGCTGGGTAGAAACTTGGGTTTTTTGTTTTGCTTTTGGGTCTCTGGCTTGGATGTTTATTTGTATTCTTTTAAAATCCATCTTTAGCTGTTGTTGTTTTTAGTTTAGGATTGTAAATTGCCTTGAGAATGGTGATTCATACATTCAATAATAATAATAATAATAATAATAATGACAATAATGCCATTTATGAATTGCTTCCTATGAAGCATCACCTAGTAATGATAGATAAATATAGAGATGATAGATGATAGATGATAGATGATAGATAGATGATAGATAGATAGATAGATACACACACATATCACATGTAAACCAAATTGCACATATAAAAGTAATTAAAACAAATAATATATAAAATCAGTGTCAAATACAGTATGTATACTGACTGGGGTAATAATAATAATAATAATAATAATAATAATAATAATAGCTAATCTATATGTAGCCAAGACAGAACCATTAATGCAGAAGCTTGGGGAATCTCAGAGTTTGGAGAACTACAAAACCCCAGATTCTTTAGATATGTGTGTTTGTGGGGTGGGAACTGCTTAGGGCAGGCTTCCTCAAACTCGGTCCTCCAGATGTTTTTTGGCCTACAACTCCCATGATCCCTAGCTAGCAGGACCAGTGGTTAGGGATGATGGGAATAGTAGTCCCAAAACATCTGTAGGGCCAAGCTTGAGGAAGCCTGATTTAGGGGAAGATATCCTACCCAGGTTCAATGAGAACTGAGCATGCCTAGCAGTGGTGGATTGCTGGATGACTGTCAGACAGAGGGCTGGGAACTCAAGGAAGGGAGAAATGGAATGGAGTTTCCTGGACAAGGGCATGGCTGTCTGGAACTCTGATCAGGAGCACTCCACACTGCAACTTTTTGTTGCAGGCTCTGCTTCCCTTTTATAATTTCCTGGCAAATCCAGCATAGTATTGATATAACCATTCAGATGTTTCAAAAATATTGTGTGATACTTATCAATAATTTTCCCCATTCTACATTCACCTTTATATTCTCATTCATTAAATATATTCAGTGCTTTCCTGAAAGTAAATATAAGTAAAGATGAATGCAGAAGGCTAAAGGTAAAGGGACCCCTGACCATTAGGTCCAGTCGTGGCCGACTCTAGGGTTGAGGCGCTCATCTCGCTTTACTGGTTGAGGGAGCCGGCGTACAGCTTCTGGGTCATGTGGCCAGCATGACTAAGCCACTTCTGGCGAACCAGAGCAGTGCACGGAAAAGCCGTATACCTTCCCACCGGAGCAGTACTGTGATGGCCTGGGATTTGGACTCGGATGCTGAACCTGAGGTATCCCAGGCTGCAAAGGATTCCCCGCCTCCAGAACCAGCTGAGCTGGGGCTGGGGCATGAGCCTGAAGGGTCCTCACTGGTGCAGGCATCCGCTGAGTCTGCTCTGGCTCCTGAGGTGATGGAGGACCCATTACCTGCAGGTGCTTCACTCTCAGCCCCGTCAGAGGAAGCTGAGGTTGCTTCTGGGTCTGGTAACCCTCCAGCCTCTCCTGAGCTCCAGAGGCTCAGGGCAGAGAGGCGGAGGGAACTAAGTTCCCGTAGGAAGAGTGCTCGCCTCCAGACCAGGAAAGGTGAGTCACCAGAGGATCGGGGCCGCCCTATGCCTCGGGGCAGATAAAAGTTGGCCAGCCCCAGTCCCAAGTTGTGGGAGCAACATTGTTGGTTGCTAGTTCCTGCCTGAGCAGCTGTCCCGCCCTGGCTCCCTGCTTGCATGCCTGTTCCTGACTTCATCTGACTCCCTGCCCTGCACCCAGCTTCAGCTACTATGGACTGCCTCCATGTTGCACCTTTGTCCACAGACCGGACTTGGACCTCGCCTCTTGGGTAACCCACGAGACCAGCACAGGTACCTATTTATCTACTTGCACTTTGATGTGCTTTTGAACTGCTAGGTTGGCAGGAGCAGGGACTGAGCTAGACCCCTACCCTACCAAATGTTCCTCTCAGTCTTTTTTCCTTCTTGGCTTTTGTTTGGACACGGGTGCTTTTAATTAACATGTTTCTTAGGAAATATAAATCCTGCACCTCAGCAAAATTGACTTTTACAATGCAGCAGTCAAATCCAAGAGCCTAGATCCCATTTAATCCTGTGTCAGACATAGTTGTTCACTGAGTCAGCCATAAGATTGCATCACATCATTTCAACATTTGAAAAACCCAGTCACTGTAGTCTTTCTGATGTTATTTTTTAAAATTTTACATTCAAGAAAGTCTGGTACATTCAGAGATATTAGTCTGAATATCAAGAATGGCTGAAGCTGCTGTGGTGTTAGAGAGCTGGACTAGGACCTGGAAGATCAGAGTTCAAGTCCCAGTTTAGCCATGAAGAACCAGAACACGTCTCATCCCTTTTTAAAGCCATCTAAGTTGGTGGTCATTACTATATCACAAGGTGTAGAGATGGCCACCAAGTTAGAGGGCTTTAAAAAAATATTAGATGAATTGGCTATCAACAGGTACTAGCCAGGATGACTGTGAATTATGGTAAAGCGTGTTCTCACTAAAGGAGAGCACGTGTTGCGGATGGGGCCGGACAAAGCACCCTGCAATGACTAGGCAGGTTGGAATTAAGGGGCCTAGAGTTGGTTGGTGTTGTGTTGCTGGGGAAAATTTGTTGTTGCAAATTTAGGGGTGGGATCAGAGGATATTTAAGCAGGGTCCACAGCAGGCTACTTTCTCTTTCACTGTGGACATCGGATCAGACTGAACTCAGTGAAGGACTGGTTGTATTTAAATTTCTTCTCTCCTTTTCCTCTCCTTTGTTTTATTTGATCTGTTCCCTCTTATAATTTCATTAGACCCCTGCCACATTTCCCTGGGGCTTAGAGCCCCCGTGGGCTACTGGGGGTGCCCGGGGGTGGGTACCGGACCCTGGGCAGCTTACGGCCCGGTTCACGGCTGAAGCGCTGGGAAGGGTGGTACTTTGCCCTCGGCTCTGGCTGTTGGCTAGCCCCAGGGGCCCTTAGGGATTCAGTGGCTGGGGAAGACCTTTCTTTCAATTTAATTTATTTTATTTTATCTTTGTTTTAAGTTGATTTTAGTAGCTCCCCCCCCCCCCACGCGGAAGTGAGTGCCGCTGCGGTCCTTCCCTCCCGCCCAGGCCGGCGCTGCCCTTAGCGCGCTCCGGCGCGCTCGGCACGGAGGCGGGGGCGCTGTGGGCGCTCCCGCAGCGTCTGGCGGCGCTGCTGAGCCCAGAGCTTTGCGGGCTTGTTTCGGCCCGCTAAAACACGGGCCTGATTGGCCTTCCCCCTCCCCCACATCTCGTGGCGGCCGGGATCGGCCGAGGGAGCCGGTTCCGCTCTGCGGGGCGGCTTACCTTGGGTGGGGGGGGCGGCCTCTGCATTCCTTTCCCCCCGCCTCACTAGCGTCGTCTGCGGGCGCGCTCCGGCGCGCGCGGTGCAGCAGGGCTGGATTTTAACGGCGGAGGCGCTGCTGGGGAAGCCGTTTGTTTAGTGGATCGCGCATAGCGTGCTTGCCAGTTTTCCGGGCTGTTTTAGCCTACTTTTGGCCTGATTCGGGGCCTGGGAGGCCTTCTGGGCAAGTGCGGGTGGAGAGACATCCATTTTGGGTGGTTTTGGCGGGAGCGCCATTTTCCTGCCTCCCTCTACCTTATCCTGGCCTCCAGTGGCCATTGTAGTGAGTGCAGCCTATAGTTGGCTGTGGTTGCTGGTGGCGCCACCTGGTGGCGGTTTGTATGGTTGCAGCTGATTGAAAGTGTCTGAACCAATTTTCCATTTAGCTGGTTATTGCCTGTTTAGCGTCTTTAGGTATTGTTGCCATCTCTAATTGTTTATTTGTTTTCCATTGGTAGTAGGTATGGCCCCGAAAAGGAAGACGTCTAAGAGGCCTGGTCCTGTGTCCTCAGCAAAGAGACCTATTAAAGGCCCGTCCCAAGCCTTGCGTTCACCTGAGCCAAATCAGTTGTTGAGTCACATCCAATCCATGGTCACTGGTTTGGCTGGTGACCCTGCTGCGCTGGCCCGTGTTGAAGCTGAAATGGATGGCCTGTTGCACCGCTGCTCAACTCTGTCTACTTCTTCTGCAAGGCCAGCCCCTCCCGCAGGCGCATCATCTCTGGTGTCGTCATCTAGTGAAGAAGAGAGAGAGTTTATAGCAGCTGGGGGTTTCTTACCTAATACTGTGGTCCAAACCCCTGGTTTACCCGAGTCTCAGGCTGCCAAGCCGAGGGGTCGGGGTGGTGCCAGGGGTACGCCCAGGAGGAGGGCATCTGCTCGGATCCGGGCAGTGCAGGCAGCAGGTGCGCCGCCCTCAACAGCTGTGCGGTCGGTTTCTGGTCATTCACAGGTTATCTCTTTTCAGTCTATTCCGGGCACCGCTCAGCAGGGTGATGTTTCCGAGTCTTCGGTAGAGGATAGCCTTCTTCCACCACCGAGACCCTCTTCTGGTGGACACCGTCGCCGCAAAAAGAGCTCCAGGAGGCACGCCAAGAGAAGGCGGAGGGACACTTCATCCTCTCCCTCAGGTACTTCATCCTCTAGTTCAAGCAGCGATGAGGAGGCCTCTCTTAAGCTTTATTGGGGCTTTGGGGAGTCGGCGGGGCTTCCAAAATGGGCTTGGGAGCGAAGGGCTAACTCTCATAGGGCAAAGTACGGGGCAGTGCAGGATTGTCGGGATGGGGTTCTGGTACCTGAGGTAAAGGTCGCCACCAATTCGGTCAGGGACCTCATACCCGGTGCCCACTTGACTACCAAGCTGCGGTCCAGGATTTTGGACGGCCGTTATATTGACATATTCAGCCTGGCCCCTCCGCAAGAGGGCCAGGACCCACAGGACAAAGGCTCTGCTGCCTCTAAAAAACGGGCGGTGTTAGCAAAGGTGGATAGGACATTTGAAAGGTGGCTGGATAGCTTCCAAGTTTTTGCTGGAGTGGTGTCTGCAGCTTATCCTAGGAGATCTTTGCATCTATGGGTGTATTTGTCTATTGTCCGTTCGGCCTTCACGATGGCTGGAGAATCCGCGGCAATATCGTATGATGAGAACTTTAGGCGCAGGGCAGCTAAGATCCCCACGGCCCGCTGGGACCGGAAGGATTTGGACGTATGGACCACTTTTGTGGCTCCGCGTATTGACAAGAAGGCTGCAGAACCTCAGAAATCTAAGGCTGTCCTACCAAGGGTGGGTCGTAAGTTGTTTTGCTGGGATTTTACCAAGGGTACCTGCCTGCGACAATTCTGCAGGTACGCACATGCATGTGAGAAGTGTTCTGGGAACCATCCAGCTTCAGCTTGTGCAGGGGGCCGTCGGTCCTTTCGGAAAGGGGGGGCTCCCAGCAGCCCTCAAAAGCCGCTCCCCCGGCTCCAGCCGCTGGAGCAGCAAAGTAGTATCTTGTCTTCTTTAGCCTATACCCCGGTACGGCTACAGCCGCTGCTGTTATTATTGCAGTCATATCCAGACAGGGTTTCGGCGTCTTATTTGCGGGATGGTTTTTCTTTGGGCTTCAGGATTCCAGTGGTTGCCACGCCGGTGGCTAGGAGTCCTGCGAATCAGAGGTCAGTTTTGGACATGCCAGAGGTGGCACGCAAGAAGATCGGGAAGGAGCTGGCTTTACGTCGCATGGCCGGCCCTTTTGTTGTTCCCCCATTTCCCAATTTGCATATTTCACCGTTGGGTATTGTTCCTAAAAAAGCTCAGGGGGAATTTCGCCTAATTCACAATCTATCACACCCTAAGGGCACATCAGTAAATGATGTTATTCCCCCGGAGCTTTGTACGGTGAAGTATGCTTCCCTTGATCAAGCGATCAAGATGGTACGGAAATTTGGGCCAGGCGCCCTATTGGCCAAATGCGACATAGAATCCGCATTTCGGCTGCTTCCCATTCATCCCGATGACTTCTGGTTACTGGGCTTCCAGTTTGATGGAGGATTTTACTTTGATAAGGCCATGCCTATGGGCTGCTCGGTAGCCTGTGCGGCTTTTGAGCGTTTTAGTTCATTTTTGGATTGGACTTTGCGCAAAAGGACTGGTCTAAGCGGTGTCACGCATTACCTGGATGATTTTTTATTGGCCTCAGCTAATGATACAGGGCACTGCGTCGTGTTACTGCAGGCCTTTGCCGACTTAGCGGAAGAGCTTGGCGTGCCGTTAGCCGCGGAGAAGACTGAAGGTCCTTCTACGCGTCTGACTTATTTGGGTATCTTGTTGGATACCGTGGCTCAAACATCCAGGTTGCTGGCAGATAAAATACTTGCGCTTAAAGGAGTCATTGAGGAACTGCTGCCCTTGAAGAAGGTGACCTTGCGACAGTTACAGTCGTTGCTGGGTCACCTGAATTTTGCTTGTAGGGTGGTCGCCCCGGGGCGACCATTCTGCTCACGTTTGGCCAGACTCATGTCAGGTTTGAGATCCCCGCAGCATAGGGTGCGCCTGTCAGCCCAGGTGAGGGCTGACCTTCGGATCTGGTTGGAATTCCTGGAGGAATTCAACGGGGTGTCTATGTGGCAGGACACTTTGAACCTCCACACTGATTTTCAGGTGCATTCCGATGCCGCGGGGTCTTTGGGGTTTGGCCTGTATTGGGATGGTAGGTGGTGTGCAGAGCGCTGGCCACTAGCTTGGCGTGGGGAATCCATAACTCGGGACCTAACTTTTCTGGAATTTTTCCCATTGTAGTGGCTGTGCATTTGTGGGTCGAGCATTTCAGGGACCATCGAGTTTGTTTTTGGTCCGATAACCTGGCTGTGGTGAACGTGCTAGCCAAGCAGTCTTCACGATCCACTAGGGTATCAGCCCTATTGCGGGCTTTTGTTTTACATTGCTTGCGTTTTAACATTGTATTTTCTGCTCGTTTTGTTCCTGGCGTGTCTAATGACATTGCTGATGCTCAGTCCCGTTTTCAGATGGAGCGGTTCAGGTCCCTGGCGCCAGTGGCTCGAGACCGTCCGGAATTTTTCCCGGATCATCTCTGGAACCTTGGCAGCACTTAGTTTTACAGGGAGTAGCTGCATCTCTTGCCCCCTCCACTTTGAGGTCTTATAAGAAGGCTTGGACTGATTTTTTACAGTTCACTGGGCAGCAGGTGGTGGGGGGAGTGGGTAGCCCCCATTCTACCACCCAGGTGCACCACCCTGGCACACCTATTTCAGAGGCGTCGGGCAAACAGGACGCTGAGACTGCATTCCGCAGCAATTTCCTTCTTTAGCAAGGCAATTTTTAACAAGGATCCATGTGGGAAATTTGTGGTGCGAAAGGCACTTGAAGGCTGGGGGCGACTGCGTCCCTCTAGACCAACTTCCAGGCAGCCCATCACATTTCATCTGCTGACTAGGATGCGCAGCAAACTGAGGAGCATCTGTTGGTCCAGGTTTGAGGCTCGGTTGTTTTCCGCAGCCTTTTCTTTAGCCTTCTTCGGGGCCCTGAGAGTGGGGGAGGTGGTCCTTGAGCCTAAGCGGGATGGAGGTTCTAGGGGTTTGTTGCTGCAGGACGTGAGCTTGTCTCCGTCAGAAGTGCAAGTCAATGTCAGGAGTTCAAAAACGGATCAACTGGGAAGGGGAGCGGTGATTCGGCTCCCAGCAACTGGGAAAGGGGGTCCTTGCCCGGTCAAGGATCTCTGGAAATACATGGCCTTACGACCACCAGGTGATGGCCCTTTGTTTATTCATGAAAATGGGCACCCGTTGGCCCGTCACCAGTTCACCAAGGTGCTGCGCAAGGTGATTGTTGCCTGCGGCCTGGTGGCTTCTGAGTTTGCTCCTCATTCCTTTCGGATAGGGGCTGCAACGACTGCGGCTCACTGGGGTTTATCAGTGGAGAGGATTAAGGACCTGGGCCGGTGGAGGTCGGACGCGTACAGAGGTTATGTACGGAAATGACGGATTTCATGCGCTTACGTTTTGTTTTACCCTAGGCCCAGCAACTATACGCATCTGGATTGTGGGGCACAGTATTGTATACTGGGCTGCTAGCAGAGCTCGTCAGTCCGGAATGGGTGATGGCCTTGGCCTGCCACAGCACGTACGGGTGTCCTGGATCTCCAGAAGGGGGATGCTGTGGAAGGAGCTTCTACCGCTTATGCAGAGGCGTGTTCTCATGGAAGGCCCTCCTTCAGCGATTGTGGTTCAGCTCGGAGAAAATGATATGGTGTCATCTTCCTGTTATGTCCTGCGGGCTGTTATGTTGGAAGATTTGCGGGAATTGGCGGCCATGGTGCCGGCAACTAAAATAATTTGGTCACAGTTGCTTCAACGCCGTAAGTGGCGAGGTAGCCCCTGTTTGGCGGCCACTGAACGGGTTAGAAAGCGGATTAATTCTGCAGTGAGCAAGTTGGTGGTCAATTTGGGTGGGTTTGTGATTCCACACCCTCTGATTACGTTCAAAGCCGCTGAATTGTTTATGATGGATGGGGTTCATCTGTCTTCTGTTGGAAATGATGTGTGGTTACATTCAGTGGTGGATAAGTTGAGGGCGTGTTTGAGGCTGTGAGTGGTTGGCGGCGAGCGTAAGGGCTCGAGTGGCGGTTAGGCATTGGTTTAAATTGGTTGGTGGAGGGGTATGGATTGGCTGTGCCTGCCCCTCCAATGCTGTTGCTGCACGGGAATTCCGTTAAAGGAATTCAGGGGCTTACCATCCTTTCGTCCAAACCCCTGGAATCGGGTTTGGGCCGTGTAAGCCCCTAGGAGCATGCAGGGAGAAGCTGAGGGTCTGTGTCGCAGCTCCAGTCATCCCTGAACTTGTTCCTCCACACTGGCTTTCGCTGGAATCTGGGAGCCAGTGCTGTCCCCAATGTGGGGGGGGACAGATAGTCATAACCAATGCCTAAGCAACCACTCACAATTTGTATGATAATAAAGTTGTGGCCAAAATTATGCCAAAAACCTTAAACAAAAATTATGTGTGATGTGTGAGTTATTGGGGTAAGGGTGTTTTGGGGGGACCTCAGCACGCAACCCCAGTGTTAAAGGTAATGTGCCTCTGAATACCAACTATTGGAGGTCCTAAGCAGGAGAATGATGCTTGTTGGCTTCTCAGAGGTATCCAGTTGGCCACTGTGAGAAAAGAATGCTGGACCAATCATTTGATTTGATCCTGAAGGGCATTACTATTTCTATTACTATGAATGAAGAACAACAAATGACACAGGGGAACACCAGAGCTCAGGAAGTCTTTGCTGCTTAAGCAAGGCTCAGCTGGAACAGGGAGCCAACCAACTGTCCTTCCCAGGAGGATCCAATGACCAGGATGGATGGAGCCAGACCAGGGCCTGAGAGTACTTCACCGAGAAGTTTCTGCCTGCAGTTCAGTGGCTCACCCCACAGGGAAGCTGTGCATAGATACCAACAGCCTCTGACACTGGGCTTCTGGTCTATCACCCCCAACACAATTTTGCACCTAGTTGTGTTTTATGGTCTTGGGGGTTGGGGCAATGGGGGAGGAGTCCCAGCGTTTGAAATCTGCCCACACCTGACTACATCCCGTTCATAATACTTCTGCGGCAGAAAATTCCAAATTCAGAAAGTGTCGGAAAGGAAAACTGAGTTTTGGCAGGTCGGGGGGGGGGATATTTCTGCCCTCTCTGGAGATGAAAGAAATCAAGGTCATCCAAATGAATTCATAGAACGTATTATAACAAAGAGGTGGATCAAAGCATGGCAGAACTTCATCTTCAAGACATTTGTAAAATTCAGTTTTAAAGCCATTCAACTTACAGAATAAAAATTGATGAGTGCTCATATCAAGGGCAGTAATTTCTGAAACAAAATCATGAAAACTGAGTTTCCGTCACTTTTGATCAAACATTAACTACACACATTTCCCCATTTTATTTTATTTTTATGAAGGGGAACTTTATAATCCATAAAATACTGTCTGGGGCTTCCGCAATCATGTGTTTTAAATCCCCCAGTACAATAAAGGGTCTCAAGATGACAAATGTGGTCATTCTACTCCTTTAAAAACCTACATGTAAAATCTTCCAGCATCCTAATTTTACATGTATAGACTACAAGAATAAACAAAAATATATATCTGGAAATGTATCAGCCATGGATGTGTGTGCATGTAAGGTTTGCCTCTCCCCCCCCCCCGAGCTGTATTCACTCAAGAAGGTGGTGGGAATTATGTTAAAACTCTATGGAACTGTGGGCTGGGATATCTTATACTTACCCAAATAGGAGGAAACGTGTTTTGTTTCATTAAATAAAGTCCTTGTTGCTTTTAGATTAGTGGCAAGACCTATTTATATCAGGCAGGCACTTTCATTGTGTTCTTTTCAATGCCTGCAAAAATCCTTCTTTTTTTTGTTTTTGTTTCAGCAATCCCAAACCCAGACATGTAATTTTATTGTGCATAGTGGTTCTTTAACTCTGTCGACTTTTACCTATATTTTTAATAATATATTTTATTCCCTACTTGTTTTTGGATCCTGTTGATTCTATCCAGATTTTCTTATGGACATTCTATATACTGTTCTATCTATTTATATTATTATTATTATTATTAAGGGGGCTATAAGTTTTGTTCAGCAAAATAAAAATAAAATAAATAGAGTTCCAAGTGTGATCACATGAGGTGGCTTGCAGTAAGTGAAAAGTTCTTTTCTCAGACTTCCTACGTCCTGCCACATTTTCCAACAGTTTCCTCTTTCTAGATCCAAAGACTCTGCTTAGTTCTGTTATGTAATGTATACCCTTCAATTGAGCTTTCATGATAAAGTTTTAGTCTGAAACCCACTTCCTTGTGAGACTGAGGTCTAGTCTATGCAAACAGCAAACACCTCTCTATCTGGCCCAGACCATAATCCTCTTCCCAGGCCAGGCATCTTGCTTACCATATTCTGCACCCAGAGTATTTCTGTATGGCTGGAATGTGTTCTTGTTTGTCTATATGGGAAATAAAAAGGTATTAGGTCCAGTCGTGGCCGATTCTGGGGTTGCAGCGCTCATCTCACTTTATTGGCCAGGGGAGCCGGTGTACAGCTTCCGGGTCATGTGGCCAGCATGACTAAGCCGCTTCTGGCATACCAGAGAAGCACAAGGAAACGCAGTTTACCTTCCCGCCAGAGTGGTACCTATTTATCTACTTGCACTTTGACGTGCTTTCGAACTGCTAGGTTGGCAGGAGCAGGGACCGAGCAACGGGAGCTCACCCCATCACTGGGATTCAAACCGCTGACCTTCTGATCGGCAAGTCCTAGGCTCTGTGGTTTAACCCACAGCGCCACCCGCGTATATGTATAATGTATAATGTAAATGTATAATGGATTAAATGTTATGGAGTAGCAAATCATATATTCTATGTGTTGTCTCCGGTGTTAGTCAATACTCAAAGCAGACTCATTGAAATGAGGAGAAATGACAAACTTAGGTGCATTAATTTCTGTCGGTCCCCTCAGTTGGAGACGACCCTATATTTTAAACATATTTTTTACCCAGTAATTTCTGACTTTTTCATAAGCCTGCCAGCTGAAAATCATGTGTCTGTTTTTATAAGCTTTGGGTGCAAACTTTTTTTAAAAAAATAATATTTATTAAGGTTTCCAAAAAAGAGAAAAGTGACATATATAAGAAAAAGAAAAATAGAAAAAAGAAGAAATACAAAATACAAAAAAATAAATAAAAAAGATTTAAAAAAAACAAATCATTCTTTCCATGCCTTACATTTCATTTACTTGTTTCCCTGACCTCCTCACGCCTCCCTTTTTTGTATTCCAGTTCAGTTAATTAATTCAGCAATTCCTTTCCCTCTTTGTTTTTATCTTAATCCTTTAACTTAATATATTATAGGTTTAGATTCTCACCTGTTAACAATCCATTTTTACATACACCTTTATAACATTGCTGCTAAAACCACTTAACTTCATTCTGACATCATTCTAACATTCATTAATTTTACAATATTTCTGTAAATAGTCTTTAAATTTCTTCCAATCTTCTTCCACCGACTCTTCTCCCTGGTCTCGGATTCTGCCAGTCATTTCCGCCAATTCCATGTAGTCCATCACCTTCATCTGCCATTCTTCCAGAGTGGGTAGATCTTGTGTCTTCCAATACTTTGCAATAAGTATTCTTGCTGCTGTTGTGGCATACATAAAGAAAGTTCTGTCCTTCTTTGGCACCATTTGGCCGACCATGCCCAGGAGAAAGGCCTCTGGTTTCTTCAGAAAGGTATATTTAAATACCCTTTTCATTTCATTATAAATCATCTCCCAGAAAGCCTTAATCCTTGGGCATGTCCACCAAAGGTGAAAGAATGTACCTTCGGTTTCTTTACATTTCCAACATTTATTATCGGGCAAATGATAGATTTTTGCAAGCTTGACTGGTGTCATGTACCACCTGTATATCATTTTCATAATATTCTCTCTTAAGGCATTACATGCCGTAAACTTCATACCTGTGGTCCATAACTGTTCCCAGTCAGCCATCATTATGTTATGTCCAACATCTTGTGCCCATTTAATCATAGCAGATTTCACCGTTTCATCCTGAGTATTCCATTTCAACAGCAAGTTATACATCTTTGACAAAATCTTGGTTTTGGGTTCTAACAGTTCTGTTTCCAATTTTGATTTTTCCACCTGGAAGCCAATTTTCTTGTCCAAATTATATGCCTCCATTATCTGATAATAATGAAGCCAATCTCACACTTTATTTTTTAGTTTTTCAAAACTCTGCAATTTCAATCTGTCTCCCTCTTGTTCCAAAATTTCCCAATATTTCAGCCATTTGGCCTCCATATTGAGCTTTTTCTGAGCCTTCGCTTCCATCGGTGACAACCACCTTGGGGTTTTATTTTCAAGTAGGTCCTTGTATCTTATCCAGACATTAAACAATGCTTTCCTGACAATATGGTTTTTAAATGCTTTATGTGCTTTGACCTTATCATACCACAAATATGCATGCCAGCTTTGGGTGTAAACTTGCCTTGGGTGTCCTTGGCAGAAGTTTAGCTTCCTGTCACAGGGTGCAGAGAAATGTTTAAAGCACCTGGAAGGAGAAAGTGACTATAAATTGATGGTTTGGTTCACACAAGGAGCCTGAGAACTTTTCACAGCTACACACATATAAGTATAGCACCCAGAGAGCCAAACAGGATTTCATATCCAAGAGCTGCCAGTTACAATGCTTATGGTGTAAGCTGGAAACCAGAAGGCTCTTTCCTTGCAGTATACTGGGGGGCAGTTTCGTCAGGAGACAAATGAGGTGAGGTGGTGGCGGTCTCTCACCAAGTCATCCATTTGGAGGGAGAGTCGAAGACAAGTCACCTGGCATTTGCGGTTACTCTCTGTTCCTGTTTGCACCATTCAGCAAGGCTGGAGGAATAGGAATCAGCTCGTGTCCTATTCCAGAGTGAAAATGCCTCACTCCTTTGTGTCTAACAACTGAACAGCGGGCCATGGGCCAAGTAACTGAGGTGTTACAAAGTCTCTTGAATCATATGTGAGGATATTTATGTTAGCTCTAGCCACCTTTTTTCTTTTTTCTTTTTTGAAAGCCAAGCCAGTCTCTGGTGGTTGTTCAATGCACGCTAATGTTATTTTAAAATGCATATAAAACTCTCGCTGGTCCAAGGTTTTCATAAGGCTGCAGCACCACCCTCAGTGTACATATTATTCCTGGTGCACTGCCAGCTGAGTGCTTCTTGCTGGAACATTGAAGCCCACAACACATTGGCTTGAGAAGCTGTGCAGCTCAATTTATGGCGCAAACGTCTGCAGTACTATAGCAACTTAGGAAACAAGAGAGTTCTGGGTTGCATTAGCATGTGCTAATGAGCATGCTAAAATGATAAAGTGCTGCCTAGTAAAACCATAACAGCACAAGAACAGGCTTGCTGGATCAGGCCAAAGGTCCACCTAGACCAGCATTATGTACTCGCAGCAGCCAGTCAGATGCCTGTGGGAAACCTGTAAGCAGGATCTGAGCAGAAACGTACTCTCTGCTCCTGCAATTTCCAGCAACTCATATTCAGAATGACTACTGCCTCTGGCAATGGGGGAAGAACGTAGAAATCTTGGTCAGTAGCCATTGATAGCCTTTTCCTCCATGAATCTGTTCAATTATTTTT